ACTCTGGTTATGGGGTCTACAAAGATTCCTCAAAAACCATAACTGACCTGGACGAAGCCATTTTCGAGGTCAGTGAAATGATGCTAGACAATGTTCATAGCTCATTCGCTACTTCGCTACACCGCTAGAAGCTTGTTCCAACTCTAGACTCGGAAGAAAAATCTTTTACTAACCTCTTGTACTTCATGATCATATTTATAGTGTTTTCGATTTCTTTCTTTGTTGTAACCAGATTTCCATATAATTAAACTTTCACTCTTTATGGTTAACACACAATTTATTAGCTTTTAATTTCATCCGTTCTTATTGAGTAAATCAAACAATTTGTTTTAGAATTTTAGTTTTTTCTAATCAATTTAAATTTTTATACAAAAGTCGATTTGATTATCGGTGATCAGTGAATATGAATAATTTATAACTAAATATGTAATCATTTGAATGAAATCGTCATCTTAATGGATGGAAATCCAAGTGAAACACTTTACCATGTTAATCAATCCAAAGGCTAAAAAGTGTTTAACAAAAATGATTCAATATTTATTATTGAGAATGAAAAGCTAAAGTTCAAAAATTGATTCATCACTCAATCAATTTAATCAAATAAAACATATTGACAGATGCTATTGTACTCAATGATAAAGTGAATCATTAATATTAACATGTAAAAAGAAGCAAATAGATCGTCATTTGCATAACAATTTGCCAAACTATAACTAAAGTTATCCTGAAAAGTATTCAAAACTTCTCGAGTCTATTTACTTCAATTTATAATTGTAAAACTGAAAAAATACATTTTCAATGAAATTCATTTTCTGAGTAGAAAAAAATTCCAAGTTTAATCTGAAATTGTTTCTCCTACTCAACACGAGATTGTTTTATAACAATTGTTGCAATTGAATTGAACAACCTTTAAATACTCGATGAATGTGTTGAGAGGATGAAGTAGAAAAGCGAAGAAAAAACAATTCGCTCAATATTCATCAGAATTTTTGTCAGATAAGTGTGAATAATCTTCTCCTTCTGAAGAGCTCAATGAGGATTATTGTTCTATTCACCTATTCGTGAAACAATAAGATACTTGAGATTGAATTTTTCCTCTTCGTTCATCACTTTCAACCTTTTCAAATCTCAATACAAAATGTTGAACAATTACTTGAAAAATGGTGAAAATGACTGTTGAAATAATTGCTATTAAATGAGTAATTTCAAGTATAATTGCCTTTCTCCATGTAAATTCAATTCTCAATCCATATTGCATGAGCTTTTCTCTGTCAACCAAAGTGTTTATTATGTTACAAATCAAATTGTTCAAGATTGCTTGACAAGTAAATTATTGAGTGACTTTTCTGGTTCATTTAACTATAATCAATTAGCAATGAGTTTTCATGAGTCTTTGGCTTTAATTTGGTGTCTTTGGTTCTCTGTGGGTTTCCTCATTATCCAAGCTCAAACTTAGCTCAACTCGCCAGTCTCATGTTTTATCATGGTCAGACAAGATTATTAATCAAGTTATTGTCTTGTTATTGTGAGTCGAATAATGATTAACTTTTATGTATTTTTTGTCTTCGAGTGTAAATTAGTTTGCAGTTTCATTGGGATTTCCAGCTCTTTAGCAACAATTTAAGTTTATTCATCGAGAGTCGGGTTAATTTGAATTCTCGGGTGAATTGAACAAATTACAATCAACTTTGATTGGGTGACTTTGAAAGGGCAAATCTGAATAGCAAATTAAAAGCTGATTCAATAAACGATACAAGTTGGACGAGTTCAAAGTTTTCTGCTTTAATTACAATTGTAATGGTGTCATTAACCGAACATTTGATATTGAAACTTGATTGGCTTTGAGTCAACAATTGTTCATATTTACAGGTTTCGACATAAGACGAGATGGAAGGAGAATCTTAAAGTTGAGGAAAAGAGAAAATTTTCAAAATTAATTTCGATAAAATAAGCTTGTAAAGAGAAAAATGTCGAGTTTGTGACTTTGAACATTGCGTTTCATCATGGACAACGCAGGAGATTTAAAATCGAATTGAATCTTCCAAAATTTCATTGATTTATAACTTTTTCGTGTTGAACTTTCTGATCAGTGATTGAAATCGTGATTGTTGGCTAAATGTGGTCAAAGTATTTTCTTTGCAGATTATTGGTCATTTGTTTGTCCAAATGATAGCCTCAAGTCAATGAGTTAAATCGTTTCACTTTAATCTTCTTTTATTGAATTTCTGTTGATCATTATTCTAGAGAAGCTTTTGCAAAGTCTTTCCAACTGATTTTGCCTCGACGAGTTTAAATCCTTTGTTTTTCGTGGTTAAACTTTACTTTAAACTACAAAAGGTTTCAATTAGTTTTCCAGTGAAACTCCACGAGATACTAAAACCGAACATTTCAAAGAGCAAATTATGAGTTATGAAAAACTTCATGGCTTCCATATGTCAATCCATGGCGAGCAGTTCGCAAGATTATTGACTTAAAATCATTTCTCCAGCAAAGATGTGAGTTAATTAATCTAATGGGTTGGAGACTCAGGGATGGTTTTAAGGGAATCTTTAAATAATCCTAAACTTTTTTAAAACCTCTTCTTCTTTTTGCTTTTAAAAAATTTCATAAACTGATTAAAGCCAACTCTTTCAACTGACAATTTTCAGTGCGAAGAGTTAAGGAAAATTGAACTGAATTTTACTAATCAACAATTTCACCAAATATTGAACCAATCTTATGTTTTTTGGAATGTAAATGTTTGAAAATGTCTTTAGCAATACTTTTGATGAAAAACTGTTACAATGATTTCGGGATAATTTAAAAAGTCCCTTAAAACCATCCCTGAACCTCAACATTATCTCACTTCTTATCAACTCTGCTTCAACTCTAAAAATCAATTTTAAATAAAAGAGAAAAGATGAAACCAAAAATCTCGGAACTCGCCATGAAGCTAATAAGGTTTTCATAATTCAACTTGATCTATGGAATGAAATTTGTCACTTTCAATTGAGTTGAGAGCTCGAAGTCTTGTTTAAAGATTCAAATGGCTCTAAAATTTGGACAATAAACAGAGCAGTTGCTTTGAACTGTTAACCAAAAGGTCGCAAAATTCAAAAGCAAACCCATTTATTTGATTAAAATATCAACATTTTTCATTGCAACTTGAAGGCTCTTTCCTCAATTGCTATTGATACTAAACTCATTGAAACTAATGACAAAAAGATAAATTATTTCACCAGAAAAAGTGAAAGTTAATTGACATTAATTATGCTCTTCATCTGTAAATCTTTCTCAATTGAAGCTTCTAAGGAACAAGTCAAAGTATTATCGCCTTAAGACATGGGAATATGAGAATTGAAAATTGTAATTGTATATCAAAATTTGATGAGAAAATGCGATTTCCATCAGAACAAGTTAATCACAAATCTTGATCATTTATCAATGAACATTTTCCCTTCATATTTCACCTTCTAACTGATCTTTCCTTTTAACTAATGATCTACGGAAACAGTTAATTATTCAACAGATTAACAGGTAAAAGTGGCTTCTCAATGAAAAGATGTAATTTGAAAATTTGTCAAATTAATTCAAGTCAACTGAACCATGATAGTTAATTGCAATAAATAATATTAATGAAACAAGTAAACAGTGAAACTGTTTTCAAGCCTTTCTGTTTCAACTTCAGGTAGAGTCTCTTGATCTTCAATAATTTACTCTAATTTCAACCATTGTTACAATTTAATGTGAATACAAACCATAAATGAATGTAATGAAAAAAGCTAATAAATGAAGACAACTGTTACCAACGATGGTTATAAAAGGTTGTCACTATTTTATTAGTGACAGCAACAAGCTAACAGCAAATTGACGGTAAAAAGAAAGCAAAAATTTAATTAAAATGAGGCAACAATTTAAGTGGTTAAAAGCGTAAATTATTAACCTTAATCATCATCAAAAGCTGGTGGTTAACCTTTGGTAATAAATTATTTCATATTGTCTATTAGTAAAGAGCCAAGAGGTGAAATGATTAAATTGTATCAACTTGGGTTTTCTGGGAAAAGACAATGTTGTATCGATGTTGCCTATTGGAGAAACGGTTAATGCTGTCAGATGTCAGAGTTAATTGTGGATCAACTAATCAATTTTTGCCTCTTTGTATTTAGGTTTCAGATTTAATCAATCTTAAATTTCCTCTTCAAATTGTGATAATTTCTTGAAGGTAAATCTTGTTTGAACAATTTGGTTTGCTTTGATCATTACGATGTTCATTTGTAAAGATTAATGTTTTGGTTGAACGTTTGTTTGCAAATGGAAATAAAAAGATGTTGAATTGTTATGATATAGAAAGGGTTTGTTTGATTTAGGTTTGCGGGTAAAAATAGATGGAAATGATTGAAATGATTTGTTGATTTTGCTTCACATCTTAATCAGATTTAAGATGAGTTGATTAAAAAAGATGGTAAAATCAATAGACGTAACAAGACAATCAAGACAGTGAAAGGTGAAATCAGAAAGAGTTTAAGATTGATATATTGTTGGGTTAAGGGGAGCCAATTTCAAGTCATTTCAATATTTCATCTGATTTTTTTTGGTAATCTAATTGAGATTTACATTAATTAAATTGAACTTGTTATATTTGTACTCTTTTGATTGGTGAAATTGCTGTTGCAATCAATTGGAATACAATTTTGTCTTTTTCTTGTGTTCACTGCAACAAAAAAGCCTCAAATGTATAATCATACAAATAACTGTTGTGCAGCAAGCTTAAGCTTTAATTCAATTAGAAGTAGTCTTTTGATTAGTTAAATAATGAATTTACTTTTGACTTTTGACTGGAAATGAAGGATACAATGAATTGGTCATTTAAATTGTTAATGTTTCGATGTTTTTTTTGGTTCAGACATATATTTGTAAAAAAAGGTTAACAAGTTGTAATGGTTTATGGGAAAATGAAACATTGAATTATGGAATAATGGAATATTGAAAGTTAATGATTGATATTGAAAATTCAATGTAAATTAAAGAAATGGTAAAATTTTACTTAATGAGGCTTGAATTTTGGCAGGGAAAAGACTAGACTTATTTTAATGCGATTTTTAACTGCAGTATTTTGGACATTTGCAACTGTTTTCTAATTGTTTGGATGTGTTGAATAGATTCTCTATATTGTTATTTTCAAATTTAGTCTTAATTTTGTACAAAATGATTTGGGTTGAGGCTACTTTTGATATAGATTTAAATTAGAAAACACGAAAAATACAAATTACAGTTAGAAATCAAAACGATTTAACTTACAATGGTGTTAATGGCAACTGTTGAAGTCGCAGTGACTATAGTTAAATTGATTATCATTGCAATCATCAGGCAAATTGACTGGAAATTCATGTTTCTTTTTGTGATGAATATGTCGGCTTCTGATGATAAATGGCGGTCTTTACACTTTAGTCGGTGATTAATCCAGGTGATTTACTTAGGATGGAAGGTTAGACTTAATTTAACTCTGACTTTGGGTTAAATATGGACTTTGGCCAAGTTTGATTCGAGTTTGGATGTCGTTGTGAGAAGTTATAATGTTAGCGAATAAATTATGAGTTGTATTGTTGTTTGGTGGTTGGTTTGATGTCAATTAATATATAAAGCGTCTCGGTTGAAAGTATAGATGAAATGATTTCGATTATTGAGATTACCACGAGAATCAACTAGTGATGATTAATAATGTTGGATAACTTTCGATCTTAAAATGCGAGAAATAAGATGATGATGATGGTTTTAAAGGAAAGAAACAGTTCTACTGAACAGGCGTAGTTCACATTTACACCTTACTTAAAATCTAACTTGGATTCTGTTTTTTGCCTATTTGTTTTCAGGTTAAGGTAGACCCAATCTTTCCCTGATTTTTTTAGCTACTTCATCCTTTTTTTCGTCCATTTCCTTGGTTTGTCTTTCTTGTTCCTCAAGGCTCATTCTACCTCGGCGACGACCTCGGCGACCTCCACGATGATCATTTCCTTGTCCTCGATTGCCAGGCCCTCTATAAGTGTTAAATGGTCTTCCTCGATTATCTTGACCTCTATTACTGCCACTTGGTCCATCACCTCTGTTATCATAACCTCTATTACTACCAAACCCTCTACCACGGTTATCTTGCCATCCACCTCTACTACTAACTCCTCTTCCTCGATTGTCAAAACCTCTATTACTACTGCTCATTCCACCTCTATCAAAATACCTTTGTTGTCCAGAATTATAACTATCTCTCCTATGAGGACTGTAACTTCGGTCAGATTCATCTACACTTCTGTCATGTCTACTTTCAGTGTCTTCAGGTTTAGGAGTAGACCTTGGATCTCTTTCATTAGGATAACTAACTTTGCGCTCGGTAAATGGATCAGTCTCAGATTTTGGTATTCGATTATCAGATGATAAACTACTCGATGTGGTCTCTTCTTTCACATACGGTTTATACTTTTCAAATCTTCTTGGAGTATTAAAACTTCCTCCTCTTCCTCTAAATTCATAAGTTCTAAAGGCATCAGTTACAGTCTTTTCTTTAGTTCCAAAACTTATTCCAGGCATTATTCGATTTTCAAATTTGCCATCCCCAAAACCGCTTCTATCAGGTAGTTTTTCGGTTGGTTTTTCGGTAGGTTCTTCAGGTATTGAAAGGCCAGGAATAGAATTCTGTTGATGGCGAACAAAGGAGAAGCCTGGATCATATTTACTTGTGGAAGGAGCATCATAGAACGATTCTTTCTTTTTGGACGTCTCTGATTTATGAGGTGACAGTATTTCGACGATTTCATCTTCCAACTAGAATTAAACAATAAGATTGAGATAAAAGAGGATTAAGAGATCGAAAAACAAAGCAAAGATAAACATAAATAGATAAATTCAGAGAAACAGAACCGACAGAAAATCAGAATAGTTACTTCTCTCAAGTTGAAACAATTAGTAAGGGTTTCCAAAGCATCCAGAAGAGAACCAACTTTCCTTCTAGAAATAGGATCCATAACCTAAAAGTATTGGAATGAAAGGCCAACAGTCTGAAAGTATCAGATTTTAAATAAACTATTCATAACAGAAAAATGAATGACAAATTATGTAACACAGTTAATGGTCACTTAGAAAATTAGACTTAAGTTGTTAAAAGTGAATAAACTAAACGCTTATTTAGATTATTATTTACAAGCGTTTCCATAACAATATGAAAAGGGACTGTTCAATAATCTACACATCAGACTTGCATTTTTTTATCTTAACTACAATTAAGACAAGAAAATCAATAAATTATTGATTACTAGGCCATATTTTAAGAACTTTTAGCCTTCCAATAGAAAATATTGCATCCAATTTCAATTATCCACAAATATCTATCAAAATATTTAGCATTTGAAATAGAAATTTTCAAAATCGAAAATTGGTAAAGTCAATAATCAAGAATGAAAAACTTAAAGTGAATACAATTAAATTTGAATGACAACTGAATCAAATAAAAGAAGCAAACTCAATCTATTAATTCGGAAAATTGTAAACGGAAATTCATTTTTGGTTCCTTTTTGTTGAATTGTAACTGTCAACCTTATATCTGATTCTTGGTATCAAACTGATTTTTTAGATAAATAAAAATTTGAATTGATCATAATTGTTTGGAATCAGCTCAAATTGTCTTGTCTAAAGAGATTAAATTGGAATAGTATTTTAATCCGACATTCATTTCACCATTAACTAAACTATTTATTGGTTGAAAATCGGCAATCATTAATTCCTGTAATCTCTCTAATTGTTTAATCATAACGAGAATCTCGTTTAAAGTGATTTTCAACATGTTAATTTGGGTTCACTCTTTTTATTACCGATTTATCCTGACTTTATGAAAGTGAAAGTAATTGTCTAGAGAATTGGTTAATTAAAGCTTGACTCGTTTCAATTAAACTATTAAATAAATGGCTGTATGTAAACATAATAAAATCGGTAGAAAAAATTATTTAAATTGAAATGACTGAATGGATAGTGATCAAAGGTAATGATTATTAAGGATTAAAACATTTTAAAGGTTCTTGTTTAAGTTGATTATTTTAATTATTCATCATGTGAATGGGTTAATTTAGCGAAACCAATTTTACCCTTTTATATTGGGAATCAACTAAACTTATTGAAAAGGGTCATTTCCAATAGTTTACATTAAATTGGTAAACACTTTTAAATAAGTTAATTGATTTATTTTTACGTTACACTACCAATTTCAAACCGGTTGACATGATTGGTAATGTGATTGATAAACAGTTACAATTGAGGAACAAATGTTAATAAAAAAAAGTGAAGTGATTAGTGAAAATTGTTAATGATTTTAGTAGATTAGTTGTTGTGTCTGAGTCTGGAATTGTCACGGAAATGTTCTGGAGCCTCATCACGATATGTTTCCCGTTCTTGTTCTCTAGAGTAAGGCTCGGGACTACCAGGACTACCAGGGCTACCAGGGTTACCCTCAGGACCATCAGAACCTTCATCAGCAGCAGAACTGGGTCCACTTGAACCTCGATATTCCCGATAAGCTCCACCAGAAGCGGGTTCATTGTAATTGGGTTCAGCAGATTCTCGTTCTTCTTCCCGATAAGCTCCTCTTTGATGAGACTGTCCATTGGATGGACCTGATTCACGGTGTGCTTGGTGATGTCTTGGGTTTTGTTCATGTCTTGGTTCTTGTGGTCCCTCTGAATGTTCACCTTCTACTGGTCCTTCTGAAGCCTCATCCTTGTGGTATCGACCTCGATTGTCTCGACCTTTGGGTTCTGGTTTCTTCATCTGAGGTTCAGCTTCTTGTTGTACAGGGAAAGGTTCACCGTGTTGGGGAGCCTCGTAAAATTCACTGTTGCCATCATTGTTAAAGCCTTCTTCAAAGTTTGGCATAAATCCATTGTTGTTTCCACCAAATCCAGAATATCCAGAATATCCCTGTGGTTCAGTGTCAGGAGTGAAAGCACTCTTAAAGTTTCCTCCTCTTACTTGAGCTGCCATGATTGCGTTCAGCTCCATTGGACTGAGTAACGGAAAACCTGCTCCACCACCTGCATACCCTGTTGCTGCTCCTATTATCAAACAAAAACAAAGTAAACAGCAAAATTAAGGGTTAAAATATGCTCAAGATGATTATTCAAGAAATACTAATTATTCTGCAATTTACATCTTCTACAACCCAAATTTACCAACCAAGTGATAATGAACCAGTCAATTAATTGAATCATACAAACAATTTAATAGTTAATCGATCATAATTTTTCCAATCATTGATATTCCATAATTTCTAGCTCCATTAAAAATATTAAAAATTGAATTTATGATTCTCGCTAAACTGCATTCAAAATTCAATCAACCTTTGAGAATAGTTATTGTTCATTATGGGCAAATTATCCTCCTCAATTGATCAATCTAATATTTAAATCCATCGACAATCAGGTTACAATTGTGAATCACTTGAAATTTGGTAAACTTGACTGCTTCTGGTAACAATTGTATTACCTAAAGTATCCAATGGTAATCCAAATTGGCCAGCCATTGGGGTGAAAATAGGTTGTCCATAAACAAAGATAGTCTGAAGACCGATAACAAATAACAGTTTGCCGTTTATCATGTTGATTAATCCAATTGGTAATTCTGTATTAAAGACACCGATAGATTAGTAAAGAGCACACAAAGAAGACAAAACAAAACAAAAATAATCTTGAGTCACTTTTTCGCTGTTTATATTTACCTTTTTTTCTAGCAGGAAAAACACTTTTAATATTTACTGATGGATATGAATTACACTTTTCACTTTTCCCAGATCAACTAAGCTTAGTAAATCGTATGATAACTGATTTTATTGAGTCTATCCAGGATTGAAGTTTGATTGAATCAATGAGATGGGATGTTGAGACCAAACCTCATTGAGCATTGTCGCGCCTTTCGCCACCAAAAAACACACTTGTTATTCAGTTGATCTGTCGAAAAAAGGAGGAGAAAATAGAGAAAAGAACATCAATTAAAATGAAAGAAACGTTACACACACACATTGACTAATCAAGTGTACGGTGCCAAACACAGATGAAGGCGAAACAAGAAAAACAAAAGGCAAGAAGAGGCAAAAAACGCCGGTAAAAAGAGGAAGGAGGAGAAAAATTTAAAGCTCAAGTTGTGACAATTGGCGTAAGCTGAAAGTGCTTATCAGTCAAATTTTTGTCACTCAATTTGACAACAAGCACGTCAAACGTTATCATTGATCATCATTGAAAGTTAATTTGGTTAATCTTTTTTTAATGCCATTTCTGTTTGCTTTACTTTACGTTTGCTCTTTTTGTGTGCATATCTTGGTTACACTATTTGTTTACCAAAAAAAATTGATTCTTCAGTTATGATTAGTACGATTATTGTTATTGTTGTTGATGTTGATTGATAATTTTTGTTACTCTATTTTACTCAACAAAAATAAACATGAATATAAGCAAATCATCTTTAATCTAATCAGCTTTCTTTCCAACTTTAGCTAATTGTTGAAAATTATATTACAATTATATTTGCATTATTATCATCGGTAGATGTTTATATTTACAAATTACTGATTACTTAAAGATTGAGCTTTATTTAATTACGACTAAATTGGTTGGTACCTGCTTTTGATTTGCTGAATTAATGATTAATGATTTTGGTATATTCACTTCAAATGTGGAAGTGAAATTTTAATTGCGCTATTTTTGATTATCTGATTAAGACGATTGTAAAGATTGGGTAAACAATGAATGACAATTGATTCAACTTTGATTTGTCATTTTGTTTGAATATTTGTCAATTCAGTTGAGATTCAAGAGAATGGGGAAATTCAAAAGTTGAATCAAACTCGACCATTTACTCATAATTATATCATTTTAAAACTGACCATTAAGAGTAGACAGAAACACTTATTCAACAAGCACACACTTTTCCACTTTTCACCAAAGATATTGATAATGAAAGAAAGAAAAAAGAAAAGAAAATTTGTTGATAATTCGTTGCTCTTGTCCACAAGAAAAAAAGAGTCTCAAGTGACCCTCAAGGGAAAAATATTATATGTTAACCCTGTTTAAATAGTATTGAATGGTTTAATACTTTACTGGATCAGAAGATGGAGATTAAAGAGAAACTTGGTTTTCCCTCTCTTTTTTTCTCGGCTCTTCATTTGTTTGATATTGAATTGGAATTGAATTGAGAGGGAAAACATGATGTTAAGAATGGAACATGATGTTGAATTGAATGATTGATACAAGATGAAGACAAGTTGATCGTCTTTGGAACAAGAGAAAAGGTGAAAAACAAAAAATGGTTAAAAGTCAATTTCATATGAAAGTCTAACTTTTCAACCATTAAATCGATCGAGGCAAATAGTCGTTGGAATATTAAGGAAAAAACAAAAAGAGTTTCCTCAATTTGTCATGTAAATTATCAAATTATAATTTGATTTAAAGAAAAGAAGTTAAGAAAACCTAAAATTTGCGAAAAAAGTTCAACGATCAGAGAAGTTGCAAAGCAGAAAGATAGATGGCGTAGTAAGGAGACAAAATTGGCGGAAAGAAATGTCTGACGAGAAAGGAATGTCTAAAGTTAATCTTCGTATCGCACTTGTTTAACGTTTTAATTTAATTTATTATCAAGTTTTCTGCATTTATTTGAAACTTATCAAGGACATTATCACGCATCTAGGGCGATATTAATCAGAAACCTAGTCATAAGGCTAAATTTATCTCCATAATTCATTGAATAGAAAATAAAATCGAAAGTAAAATTCCTTTTATCTTTTCCTTCTCTTTAAATCTCTATTCTTTCTTCCAACTATCGCATTGGTTTAAAAAGGCGATGAAAAAATGCACAAATAATCAATATTGAAATATAATTGCTTGATGATATCCTGTTGAAGTTTGAAACAATTAAAAAAAACGTTAACTTACCAGGAAAGAGACTAATAAAAAAAGATTGGTGAATTATCAGGGGATGAAAACTGGTACATTGTTTGTTGCACAATTGAGAGACAATTAGATGAAAAAAGTAACCTTTTTTATCATCAACATTTTCCATTGGTTTAACCAAATTAATGCAAACCTTTTAATATCACTGTAAAGTAAATATAAATTGTAATTACAATTCTGTCTAGCTCAGGTTCAAGAGTCAAGATTTGGTTCAGGTTAACAAAAATAAGAAAAATTTAACCGGTAATGGTTCACTTTTTTCTCGGCAGATGGTATGAGATGAAGCCGGCTTTCAAAATAACCAGAGAGAGATGATGAAGCTGCGCACGCATGAAGGGGAAGTTTTCCCTTTATCTGTGATTGGTTTGCACTATTTGAGTTTAGATCCTTTGGAGAAGTAAAAGTCTTTGACTACTCGGAGGAATTTCATTCTCTCTCTTCAGTCTCGTCTGACTTGCTTGTTTTTTGTGTCTCCTTCTCTTTATATACATTTTCTTTCTTTTTTTTGCTTGTATTTTTTTTTCGTCTCTTGATTCTCTCTTCTCCCTTCTGCGTTATACACTTTTCTCTTCTACTTCTGATTCTCTCTTCTTTCTCTAACTCTGTTTTTTCCTCAACTTAGTCTACGTCTTCTTGCTTTTTTTTATATAAAATAAACTTCTACTATGGATTACGACCCTTTTGGTTATGTGTCCCAGTATGACAATATGGATTATAAGTGTCTAGTTCATGACTGCATGTGGTCAGGTACCTGTAAAGAGGATAATTTACATGAATCTACCAATAAACTAAGTGATTTCAGTTACTTTTCAACGTCTCCAGTGTATGGGTCTATTTTCGATATATTCAATATTGACGATGAAAATAGTTTAGGTGAGATTGATGGTGACAATGAAGAATATGATGAAGAGGAAGACTCACCTCTTTCTGGACTTTCTGGAGATTCAGGAGATGAACATAAAGTTGTCAATAATAGCCATATTAAGGATCACTCTTATGGTAATAATAAAAGTAGCATGTGTATTGCCGGTAACAAGGCAACTTGTTCAACCTCAACTTCAACTTCATCTTCCCTTATGGAAACAAATATAATTTCATCATCAGATACTAATTCTTCTTGTTCATCATCATCATTGGAATCAACAACTTTACTTCAATCTTCATCAAACCAACTAGTACCTTGTTCACAATTGTCCGAAGTAGAACTTACATCGATACCCGCCACTGCAACAGTCACCAGCTCAATTATTTCTCCTACAACTTCAGCAACACCAACAGTAGCTATTAAAACGATTGGTAAATCTAGAAATCCAAAGTCATCTTGTCAAGAACGTAGAAAAGAATTGAATGCTGCTATCTCAACAATAACCCAAGCGTCTTCAACACATGTACCAGCAAACACATCTATTCTTAAAAGTACGGGTAAACCAAGAAATCCAAAGTCGCTATATCCTGAACGTAGAAAAGAACATAATAATTCCGAAAAGAAACGACGAGATCATCTAAGGAACGCATTCAACCATCTTAGAGATCAAATACCTAAATTAAAGGATGGCGAAAAGAAAGCTGCAAGAGTAACTATTTTGAAAGAGGCGTCGTCATATGTAACTCTTTTAAAAGAGAAACATCGTTATTTGGAGCGAACCAAAACTGCTGAAACAATAAAGAAAGAGAATCTCTTGAAAAGGCTAAAGCTTCTTCAATCTGGTTCCATCGATCCTAGCCCACAACAACAACAGATCATCCAATTAATTTAAAAAAAGACAAAATCTTCAATAACATAAATTATGTAATTAATTAAACCAAACAAATGTAAAACTTATTGTAATTTTTCAAAAAACCCTCCCTTTATACTTTGTAAGTCCCCCAACAAAACTTTCCCCCCACCATATTTTGCGCGACTAATTATGGTCGGTGCTCTCAAGTGGAGCTTCTCGAAATATACAGAGGGTGGAGAAACTGTTAATGCAGTTGACTTTCCGTTGATTTCAATAAATACAACATAGATTTTTGATTTAAGAGTTTACCTTATTTTGTTGTTGATCATTTGCCGGTATCAAAAAGATGATGAAATTGAACAAGATTACGGTTTGATGTCAATGATTATCTTGTTACATTTAATTTGGTCGGATATCAATCAATCTTAAATAGGAAATTCAGATAATCTTGGAGTGTAGTCTCCGATAATTTCCTAAAACAAAGTGGAAGAGATAGAAGAGAAGAAGACAAAATACCAAACGTAGTTGATAAAAAAAAGGCAGTTTAATATACTTTGTTGGAGGTGATGAAGATTACGAGAAAATCGCGGTTTAACTTGCTTTTCAACTTGTTTTGTCATCATTTATCATTCCCATTGTATTTAATGCACAATTAAATTGTCTCACTTGATTATTTTATTGTCTGTTAATCGCTGATTCTGATCATCAGTTGACCTGCAACAAAATAGGAATTGAAAAGGAATAGAAAAAGATATTTCCTTAGATAAAGTAACGAGAAATAAGAGACAGAGAGAAAGAGGAGTGGGGGTAAGAGACGTAGACAGAGAAATCAAGAGGGAGAGAGACAAGTTGATAAGGTACGATAACAAAGAAAAGGTTTTTTTAGTGAGAGGGAAAACAAGTTGTATCTAAAAGATTTTGGTTGATTAATTTTTAGTTATTTAACTAACTCATCATTAATTGAATGTTTCTCTTGTTCCAGTTTTAACAAAGTGCTTGGTGTTTATTTGGACATTCAATTTCAACCTAAATCATTTTTAACCAGAAAAATTAAGTTTACAGTTTACCAAAAGGAACAAGGATAAAGACAAAAGAAGTGCTGTCGCCATGTTTTATTTCCTGGTTTTTTCTCTCAATCTTTTGGTCATTTTTACAACCCATGTTTCTGTTAATGGTCTTGACAATGGGTTAGCTCGTACACCACCAATGGGTTGGATGACCTGGGCCAAGTTTGGATGTCATGTTGACTGTGTCAAGGAACCAAATGGCTGTATTTCGGACAAGTTGATTCGCTCTATGGCTTCAGTTATGGTTACAGAGGGCTACCTTGACGCAGGTTACGAATACGTAAACATAGATGACTGTTGGTCTGAAATGGAACGGGATCCTGTTACACAAGCCTTAATCCCTAATGCAACTCGTTTCCCTGATGGAATGGAAAACCTTTCAAGCTTTGTACACTCTTTGGGTTTACGATTTGGTATTTATGGTGATATTGGTACCAAAACGTGTGAAGGTTATCCTGGTTTTTGGATTGGAAATGGATCGGCTTCAGATTATTTCCTACTCGACACTGAAACCTTTGCCTCATGGGGAGTTGATTCAATCAAGGTTGATGGTTGTTACCAAGATATTGACCTCTTTGACCGTATTTACCCAAGATTTGGTCAGGCTCTTAATTTCACGGGTAAGCTGGCAATTTAATTTTCTCACAGATTTACATCTAAACTTTTCAACTTTTCCCCCTTTCCTTGACTGAATCATCGCATCATTATCCCAGGAAACCAATTATCATTAAACTGATCCTCTGATTGTCTTGGCTTATACCAATTGTTGTTCAGATATGATAATTTCTATGACTAACTAACTCTTTGATTGACTGACTGTTGACAGTAAAAGACCTAACTTTGTCCTCTTCTCTTTTTTTCTGTGTCTAGATTGAGTGTGATTAAGATTGATTCGATTTATCTCAATCTTCCAATTTAGACACTATTGATTGGTGTAAAAACAAACAAAATACAGCAGAAAATATAAGATAGTTGATTTCGGTTCTCTCCTCCCAACCCCTAAAAATATAATCATCACCATGATCATCGCCATCATTATCAATTTTAGCATTTAAACTTTGACACTAGTTTTTTTCCTTTATTACTTAATGTTTCTCTTTCTTTATTTCCCTTCCCCTTATTGTTAATGCTAACCAAATAACGATTAACAATTCCTCAATCATTAAGTGCTTCCTCCTTGTTTAAGCTCCTTGACCCTTAACATGAAAACAATTTTTTTTTGAAGAGAAGAAAACTTTCAACAATATCTCCACCGAATCCAGTAGATGATAAGAGAAACGTTAAAGCCCCAAATCCAAAGGTACAGCAGATTGAGTACAATCAGAGACAAAAATATTGGATAATTACAGATTTGACGGCACATAATCAACACCAGTGATAATTATGAATTAGTCGCTAGTCTAACCGTCAATATTAAACATCTATTTGATCCAATGATTAAACCTTAGATATGAGAGGACAACCATGACCGTTTTGTTTACCCACAAGACTTTGCCTCGAAGGGATTCCCTCTACTCATCTCTAATTATCGCAGATTCACATATTAGCATCAATAACGAGGCTGATTAGCGACAAATAATCGCTTCTTGTTAATGTAGAAAAGATTTCCAGACTTCCTCAGAAAGGAAAATCTAGGAAAACAGATTCAGATCAACAGGTTTATCTCAAAGGGAAGAAGTTTATAAATTTTGATTTTAACCAATAGGCAGACTCATGAAACGAAATGTCTTCAGACGAAAAGATAGTTTTAAACGCGTTAACCCAACTTTTATCAGCTTTTCTGTGTAAATTTATCTTAAGCTTAACTATTTCATGTATTAAAGTAAGATCCATTAAGCAGAGCCATCTATTAGTTAATTTATAAATGAATTAAATTTACCTTACCAGAAAAAATAGTTTGAATGAATTTCAATCAGCTATTGACTGGAAATTGAAAGATATTTGATTAAGACGATTGTAAAGATTGACTAAACAATGAATGACAATTGATTCAACTTTGATTTGTCATTTTGAATATTTGTCAATTCAGTTGAGATTCAAGAGAATGGGGAAATTCAAAGTTGAATCAAACTCGACCATTTACTCATAATTATATCATTTTAAAACTGACCATTTAAGAGCAGACAGAAATACTTATTCAACAAACACACACTTTTCCACTTTTCACCAAAGATATTGATCATGAAAGAAAGAAAAAAGAAAAGAAAATTTGTTGATAATTCGTTGCTCTTGTCCACAAGAAAAAAAAGAGTCTCAAGTGACCCTCAAGGGAAAAATATTATATGTTAACCCTGTTTAAATAGTATTGAATGGTCAATACTTTACTGGATCAGAAGATGAAGATTAAAGAGAAACTTGGTTTTCCCTCTCTTTTTTTCTCGGCTCTTCATTTGTTTGATATTGAATTGGAATTGAATTGAGAGGGAAAGCATGATGTTAAGAATAGAACATGATGTTGAATTGAATGATTGATACAAGATGAAGACAAGTTGATCATCTTCGGAACAAGAGAAAAGGCGAAGAGAAACAAAAAATGGTTAAAAAGTTTACTTTTCCTGTGCAATTGATTTTTAACCATTAAATTGATCAAGAAAATTACATTCCAATAATTTGACAATTTAAAGATTGAATCTTCGACAAAATAAAAGTCATCAAATTATCAAATGCTTATTTCAATAAGTAAGACCATGATGAAGGGAGATAAAATGAGGTGGAAGAAAAGTGATGCCAATCAATCAACCTGGAATCATCAACTTAGCCTGACAGCATTCTTGTTGACGATATTATTGGGTAAAGGCTATTTTTGAACAGGTCATGCAAGTGACACGCTCAATTTTATCTTCATCTTCGTCATCCTCTTGTACATTTTTCTTCCTACATCTTTCTGTCAAATCTCTTTCTTTCTCTTACGTTTGTCATCAACTATTAGCTTTTCACTTTTCATCCTTTTTTTCCTCTCATTTACTTTTTTTGAAAATCTTTTCCTTTCCCGCTCTCAACTTGACTCTCAATGAAAACAAACTTACATGAAATCTTGTTTATTCATTCCCAATGATCCTCTTGTGTCTGAAACTTTTTCATAACTTGAGGCGTAAAATGAATGCTTCAACTAAAATATCAATACAAGAGTAAAATTTTTATCACTTTTTCTTGTTTCTTTTCATCTTTTCAATTACCAAGCTTCGAAGTAAAAATTGTTATTTCAACTGTTTACAGCTTGTATCAATGATTCCAATTGTTGCTATCATGAAGTATTGCATGGATGAAGAGAAAGCCTGAAAATGTCCAATAAATTGACTTTTTACAGCAACACGATGAGCTAATCCAATTATGTGAATATTTATCTAGAAAGAGAAAGAAAAAGATTTCTCAGGAAATTACGTTGAACAAGAAGAAAAAAAATGTGTTACTGAAGTTTCATTTTTAAATCTCAAGATTTAAATTTCGATTTGTTTCTGTTTTCTTCCAACTTATCTTGAGCCTGACTGCCTATCCTTTTAAATCCTCATTCCTCTATAAATACGCATCTTCTTTTGATGATCCTGATTCTTCCTCTTCTGAAGCTCTCATGTTCACTAATCGTCGAGGGCAAATTAATCTTACGTATTCAGCTTGTCTTGCAATGGCAAATAAGCATTTCAAATTTTCACAGTCCAAACCATGACAACTTGAAATACTTTTGCTTCTCTCTTTACAACCAAAAATTGTTTTCCAAATTGAAAAGGAAACGGATCGAGTTGATGGACTTACGATGCAACAGCTAAGCTCAAACTCGTAGACATACACAAGCCTCCCACGCTTTCATCATTCTAGCTCAATTTGTCTCCCTAACCTCATCTTTCTCTCTCTCTCTTATTTAACAAATAAGTCAAAAATAAAAATGGCTTTCCATTCGTAAGCTGGAAAACCTTCAATATTGTCTAAGATTGTTTTGTAAGATGAAACGATCTGAATGAACAAGTCCAAGACTTTTGTTACTTTGCAAACGCTATTCATCCTCTGAGAAGGGATTCCAGATTCTTGAGTCAACCTTTTTTTCACTCCACAAAAAAACTGAGTCAAGCATTGTCCAACTTTTTTGACAACAACGATACGGTCTACCTATTGTGATGACAAAAAAGTCCTCTATCTCATCTCTCACTCCCAATGCCATTTTCCTCTAATTTCTCATTCTTTTTCATCCTCCTTCATCTTCACCTCCACCTCCTCCTCCTCCTTACTCTAAATAATTGTCTTTAAACTTTTTCCTTGTCTTTCTCTCTGTTTTGTTTTCTCATCTTCACTGATCCATTACATCGTCTTCATCATCTCTAGTCAAGTGAAATTTTCATATCAATATTTTTCGCGCCTCACCAAGAAGAACAGAAAAGTCAACTTTTTTCTTCTTCTTCTTCTTCGCTTTTGGTGTTTGACCTGAAAAAAAAAGTTTACTCAAAAAGGCAAAATATGAAGGCAGAAGGAAAAACATGAATGTCAAGAAGAAACTAAGATGGACAAGATGAAGAGGACAATGGAGTGAGTAGAAGATGAAAAGGAAGAGAAGAAATGTTCTCAATGAAGAGAGAGAGGATAACAATCTTGATCATCATCTCGTCCAGTTTAACTTACTCTTATTTTCATTGTCTTTTCATCTCAATTTTTCTTCTCCATTCCTCCTCTTTCCCTCTTCACTTATACGTCTGTCTGTGTGTGTTTTTGGTCAAGCTTGACCTGTTCACCATTTTTATATTTCATTTTTACAGCTCAAAACTCAATAAAGACCTTTGACTTTGGTCTTTTTTCTCTCTCTATCTCTCTCTCTTTCTTTACCAATCTTCATTTGTTGACCTTTCACACAACAACAAAAACTTTTAGTCAAAATATATGTGTATTTGTGTATCTAAAGCTGTACAACTAGAGTTGAAAGTTTAACCCAAGAGTCATTTGATAAGGCCAAATGGACAGATCAAGTTGTACTGTTAAGTTAATGAATTTCAACCTCACTTAACAGTTTACTTTCCAGTCCCTTTATCATCAAGATAATCGATCTCGAAATTGGTCTCACATCAATTTTCAATCTCACCCAAAACACGCCAATATCAATCAATTAAACCGTTTGAATCTCAATATTCATTTTGACCCTTTCCTAACAATGTAAATATATCTCGAGTCCAAATTGCATTAATAACCATTTACCTTGTCAACAGTTTGTGTTAATATAAATTGTTAACCTTTTGTGATTCCCAAGTCACTTACCTTGGTTACCCTTTCAATTAGCTAATAAATAACCATTATTAAAGTAATGATTATGATCGATTTACTCGATTCCATATCGATTTCATTGTAATGTTTTATCATTTACAATTGTTCATTACTTTTTATCCTCTTTTCTCTCTCATCTTTTTTTATCTAAATCATTCAACATTTCCTTGTTTATTTTGTATCTACTTTTTGCTTCTTTCTTGCCTTCTGCGTACTCATGCCCTTAAGATGCAAGTGGTAAAAGAGGGAAAAGATGATGATGATGAATTTGATGGGGAAGACAGCATTAAACTGTGTATAAGTTTCATTAAATCTTTTCCCTCTCAACGTTACATCGTTACTTTCAGTTACTTTTGCTGCTCTTCTCTGTATTTACGGAAAAACAAAAATCTGTCAATGAGGAAGTTATTCACAAAGATGTTTACATATTATGAAAGAGAGTAAAAAGTGATTCCAATTCTTTTCACTCACTTTCCATGATATCAGAGGAAACTGTAAAGGGAATCTTGCCAGACTTACAACTTTATTAACGTTAAATTGAGGAAAAAGAGTCAACCCTTTATCCATTTGTTTAATTCAATGATCAACTCTCATTCCAAGATATTAATCATTGATAATGAAAAATATTTTCTGCGAGTCTCACATCTGTTTAAATTTGTTTCTTCTTTTCGTTGAAATTCAACTGAAATTTGGCGTTAAATGATCTCCAAATTTTGGTTGATAATCTTTTTGTTTTTCTTGTTTCTTGGTCGATGTCATTTCCTTTGTTCTCGTCCTTCTTTGCCCATCAACAGTCCAAAGAGGTGTCCTGTAAACTCGCCACATTTAAGCTTCTAAACAAACAGAGAGTCAAACCCTTTTACAACTTTAAAGAAATCTCGCCACTAATTGTTACAGCTATGGCAAGTAAATTATCAATTTTGATTAAGAAATTCGTGTACAAAGATCAAGCTCAAGCTGAATTTATTCAATTTCATATCATTTTGGTAGCTTTTGTATCGAGAATCGTTATTTAATTGAATACATTGTAGCTTTTTTGTTCAATTATGGAAGCAGATTTTTCATCAAACTCAATTAAATGGTGTAGATTTCGATGAAAAATCAGAAAACGTACAGCCGATCACTTCGATTTTCAGTTAGATCGACTGCTTTCTGTGGCCTTAAAAGTTAGAGCTTAAACTTATCATTCGTCGATAAAAATTGTTGGTACACACCAATGTTTTAACACCTTTTTCAGTTTATCGACAGTTCTATTGATTTTGACCATTCATTAGATGTTATTATCGATTATAAAATTAATATGATATATTTTTTGTAGGATCTTGAATGATCTAAAAATTTAAGAATGATTTTTGAAAATTATCAACAATTTTTGAGCAAAATTTGACCAACACCTTGTACACGAATTTCTTAATCAAAATTGATAATTTACTTGCCATAGCTGTAACAATTAGTGGCGAGATTTCTTTAAAGTTGTAAAAGGGTTTGACTCTCTGTTTGTTTTAAAGCTTAAATGTGGCGAGTTTACAGGGAACCGTCCAAAGACAATGGGATGTGAGATGATGAATAGGGAAATGATGAGAGGGAAAAATGTGTTTTTTCCTCATAAGTGGTCCTTTGATGTGCACTTTTCAGTGCTTACCGATTAAGGGAAAGGTTCAAGAAGATAATAAGATGAACCCAAGAGTAGGAGGATGAAAGGATTAACCATGAAGAGAGAGAGAGAGAAGGGAAAGGATTAAGTAAAGGAAGAGAGGCATAAAAAGTTGAACAGTATGTTTGAAAAGCAAACACAGATTGTTTGGTTTGTAAGTTGTGTGTGGTAAAAGTCAACCAAATGCACTCAGTCAATCAACTGAACTCTGAATTGGTGCAACTATTTTTTTACAAAAATTTCTGCCTTGATTGACTTTTACTTTATCCTTTTCCATCCCAATGAAAATCATCTTACATCCGAGTGAGAAGCTGTTATAATCTGATTTATTTATTCTCACTCCTAACCTCTCAAGACGATAATAAAAAAGACACAGAGTGAGAAGGATAACATTTCATTTGAAAAAAAAAATTTTCTCAAATATTTTTTGCTTCTACTTTGTGTGGGTAAAAATCTTGATTGTCAACTCATTTTACTGTTAAGAAAATAAGCAAGATTGAAGATGATGAGGATGAGGATGAAAAAGGAAGCTTGTAAAAAGATGGTTTTGATTATGCTTTGGGACAATAATATCAAATGTTAATAAGATTAGTTGTGTGTTTAGTTGAGGGTTAAGAGTTGATGGAAGAGTCAAAACTTGAAAACAACTAATTTGAGTTGGATGAAGATGAACAAATGCAAGGCGAAAGTGAAGATGAAAAGATGACAAAAAGTGAGATCATTAAAAAGAGCAATTTTGTGTTAAGAAGATTTAATTTCTGTAAAATGTCTTTATTCGATTTTCAACCTTTTCTTAATCTTCATCTTCATCAGTCTCATTTGCAAGTCTTTTGACCCTAAAGTACGTCAAGTTAGGTAACGTTATTTAACCATTGAGAATAATTTGGCTCGTAAAAGAATCTCAATTTGCCAAAAGTTTTCATTCAATTTTCTGGGTTCAACATTAGACTAATCATGGTAATTGTAGACAAATGCAAACTCAATTACACTTTGAATTAGACTTGCAATTGGGTCAAGGTTGATAGACAATAACGAGAATAGAAACTCAACTCTTTACTCGTTTTCTTGGCACAAAATGAACTCATTTTTTCGTCTAACAGATAACATTGAACCGAGAGGCTTTATTCACAATGCTAATGAACACTGTTAATGGTTATTGTTTGCTAGACTATTTAGGAATAATTAGTGATTCGTTGAACTTTTCCTTGGATTGCACTGGAATAAAGTCAAGACAATTAGTGATGATTTAAATGGAAATCAATTGATTTGTTTAAGCATAACAATAAGCATGATTAAAATTGTCATCAAAACATTTCATAATTGTCTGAGTATTTCGTTTTTTTTGTTTAATCATTTCATTTCTTTCATTTTTTTGTTTCTCCACTTCTCGTTTCACGCTCAAATCATTTTAAATGTAAAATTACCATTGAAATTAAATGTTAATACAATTGAATTGCAAATTACATGGAAAAAATAATTGAAACAATACAATGAGCAACATGAAAAGAAAACAGCAAAAAACGAAATAATGATATTTAATTAACTCTATTTATTCTTGATTCTCAGGTCGTCCCATCTTGTATTCATGTTCATGGCCTGCCTATCAAGTGTACGTCCAAAGGGAACCCGATTATGCATCCATTGCTAAATCATGTAACTTGTGGCGTAACTACAATGATATTGAACTCAGCTTTGAGTCGGTTCTTTCCATAATCGAGTTTTTCGCTCAAAATCAAGCCGATTTCGTTCGATACCAAAGTAAGTTTCATTTTACATTTCAATTTATCAACATCTTGCATTTTGCCATTTCTCAAATGGACAAACATCTCGAAACATTTTCCATAAATTTTGCATCTAAATTGCAATTCATTCAATTCCACAATTAGATTTACTGAACACTTCGAAGTCTCGATGAAGTGACCGAAGGTTTGCCTAGTTGCAGCAACTTACATCGAATCGAAATAATCGCAACAATAGTTGTCTTAAACGTTAGTAAATTTATCTCAAGAAATTGCAAGATCTAGTTATTTTGATCCAGACATGTAACAGACCATGAATTTACAGTTCAATTCTGAGTTGAAATCGACATCTAGACAAATGTTGACAATGTTTGCCTTCAATTTGAGCGATAATTTAATTTTCAAGAGAAAAAAATTTGTCCATTTTGCAAACATTTTAATCAATTTAAGTCAATTTTGAAACTTTTCAAAACAAAAACTGAACCATAACTGGAAAAAAATTTAATGATTTCTCCGGCAAGAAATGGCAAAATGCAAGTTCATTTACAGTACAAAAGTAACATTGAGATGAGTTTTGAACACTGGCAAGTTGAATAACTAGTTAAAGTTGCAACAAATTGTTGCCCGTTTACCCCGTTAACCTGTTCTCATCAGGTTAACAAGTCAAGAGGATGAGAGCGCAAAAAGAGCTCAACAGGTAAACCAGTAGTTTGTTGTGTCTACCTTTCCATTCACACAAATAAACCCATTTACCCGTTTTCCCCCATTTTTTACCTTCTTCTCACTGGAGAAAAGTCTTTACCTTTTTATCCCTTTACGCACTATCAATTCATTGAAATGATGATTATGATAATACAATTGGCGCTACTTTTTTATTGCATTTTCACAACTGACTGATACTTTGTTGTAATATATCAATGTTTCGTTCGCCCTTGAAGCATTGATGCACTTTACTCTGCACATAAACACACATAGTTAAAGCTTTTTTTCATTTTTTTTCTCTTCCTTACTTTCCCTTAATAAAATCATATACTTTGTTTGCCTTTGTTTTTTACATTACAATTAACACTCGCACTTTCTTATCACTCTTTAAACATTGCTTTTCAATGGGATCTTGAAAAACACTCATAAACGGGTTTCACCTTCATCTTTTATTAATGCAATATAACATCACATTAGGCTATTACATGAGCCATTATTTTGTACCAATGTTTACACTTCTAGCTTTTCAACTTTTTTTGGTGCTTTTTTTGTTGCTCGCTTAGGTGCTTTAATTGTAAACCCTCAAAGTCGCCCAAACAAAGCGCAATCTTTGTAAACATTTTATATGCAAAGCAAAACCATAATTGACCTTTTACCTTTAAACCAGAACCAAGAAAAAATTCACTTCAGAGTCAATAATTCACTCAAAGTAAGGTTAAGTTAAGGCCAAAAGTTGACTTTAAAAAGGTTTTCCAATGATTCAGGTCAAAGTTTTCATATTAGTATCAGTTTGTCAACAGCAACCCTCAATATTAAATTTAATAACAACACTTATATTAAAAGATAGAAAGCATAATATCAATTGATTGACATTGTAACAATTGTTCAATGAATGATCCAAGAAGAATGAAAAAAAGAAGAAGAATATGTAACTCTGACTCTCTCTTCCTCTCTTTCCACCGCTCCTTTGAGCATCTTTCATCGTCACTATTACCATCATCATCATCATCATCATTACTAGCCTTCTATCACTCAATTTTGTTCAATATTTAAAGGCTAGTCCAAAGCTAAAAGAAGAGGGAAAAAGATTGTTAAAAGTCAAGTTTTTTGGAGGGAATCTAAAATTTTGGGAAAGTTCAGTTCAGTTGCCTTCTCTTGCAACTATTACTATATTTATACATAACCATATTGATTGGGAATCGATTAGATTCTCTAGACTCTTCTCTTTCTCTCCTCTTCTCATCTTCCCTCTCCTTCAATTGATAAAAGAGTATAAGCGTGAAGCCAATTGATCCATTGTGCAAATGCTGTTCCCACGCTGCAAACGAACTATATATATATTAATATAAACATAGTTACTAATGTTGTACGCTATTGTGGCTTTATTCCTCCATCGATATTATTCCTACTTTTGGCCTCTTTTTTATTCATATCGCTCTTCTCTTTTTTATCGTAACGTTCGCTACTCCACAGACTTGCACATAGAAATGCATTGAAAGTGGACAGAAACTGATTACACAAAATCCCTCAAAACAGGTAAAGTTGAACCTTTTAACCTGCAACTTTACTCTCTCCTTATCATTATTTCGTCTCCTTCTCATCTTCTTTTCTCTCTTTCTTCTTCTTCTCCCACTTGTTAACTTTTATCCTCTTATCATCCATTATAAAATGATATGATAACTATGAATTTTTATATCTAATAATGTGTATATTTGGCTTGTAAAAACAGTGTGCTTTGTCTGCGCTGTTTCGTGTCCATCAAATTATCAATCCTCTTCCGTCAAGTTATCATTTACTTTGTACTTTACTGAACATGAAAACACACAAAAAAGCAAACCAAAAATGGGAGTTATGATTATCCAGGGATTTTTCCTATTCCTTTTCAACATTATCATTATTCATTGGCTTTTTTTACCTTTACTCAAGCCATGTTTACATGTCAACATTATTATATATATTTTAGCTTCTGCCAATGGCGATGAAAAGTTTACCTTTCAATAACATTTTCATCCAATACTTATTTGTATCTTTACCCAACAATTGAATGAAAAATATTTAAAGATTACCCCGTTGTGAGGGCGGGAAAATGGGAAGTGTGAGGATGAAAAATTTACTCTCGCTGACTCTGGGATTTAATATTGTTGATTATGATTATGATCATCATTATGATTATCAATTTTCTCTCTCCATTCTTTCTGCCCATTTCTTCTTGCTTTTCCCGTATAATTGTTATCCTCTGAACTTTCTGCCTTTTTTCCCTCTTTGGGATGACGATCATCATTATTACCTTTTGATGATGATAGGCTTGAAGAGACCACTTGGTTTCTCTCGAGGTAATGAATTAAATCACGAATTTGATTGCCCAATGAATGGTTATGCTTTTTCTTGTGTTTGTTAAATTTAAATTAAAGGCACATTGTCATCTTCAGAAGCAGATTGAAAGGTAAAAACAAATGATTATGAGGGATGAAGAGGGAGGTTGAGGTTGGTGAGAGGGTGGAAGAGGTGGAGTAACTTTAAATGTAAAGAAATTTTCGATGCACTTATTTTCCACTTCGAGTGAAGGAAGAAAAAAACTTTTCAACTTACATTCACTTTACATTTCACTTTTGCTTTTTTCGTCTTCAATCTCCTTCCCTCTTTCGTTCATCTCTAGAGGAAAAAGTTTTTGCTGAGCCATGATATTCCAGTGAAAGGCAAAAGAATCTTTACTGGGCTGAATGAGAGAGAAAGATAAAGAATGAAGATGATGAAGAAAATGGCAAAAATAGATATTTTTACTCGAGTATCTCCACTGGTTACAAGCGTGATCTATGCATCTTTCAATCTCTTTACTCGTCATTATCATCAGTTGCTTCATCAATGCTTTCTTATCATTCATCTTATACCGGCTTGGTCAGACTTAACGGTAAACCTTCATTACGCAAGTAACCTTCTGATGGGGAAAAAAGCTCTCTTCTTGATTCTTTCCTCATCATCATCTGCCTTTAACTTTCTCTTTCTTTTCACCGGCTTTCTTCTCTCTTTGCATCATTTTTCTTTCTTTTCCAACCTTTTTCTTCTTCTCGCCATGTTTTATCTGCTCTTCTTTTTCTGCATTCATTCATTTTCTCATATTCTTGCCCTTTATATTTTCTCTTGTTATCTTCTTCTTTCTGATTCTCATTCTTATTCCATTCTCTCTTTTTCTTCTTCTCCTGCTCTTTATCATCATCACCTATTGATTAAAGTAAATTCAATAAGAATTATATTCATTGCAACTTTTTTTTCTTCTTTCCTCATTTATATTACATTTTCTCTCATTTTTTTTCTTCTTTCATAATTTCTCCTCATTTCATAATGATCCATTACATTTCATTGTTTCTGCCTCTTTCATACTCAACCCTTTTATCATGATATTGTTGTTCATCACCAAACTATCATGAGGCAAACATTCAATAGCCAAGATAAACTGTATCTTGTTCATCACTCCTTGAGTTAATTTAACCTAGAAAACAAACAAATCTGTAATCAACTTGTTTTTCAAAGTTGTGCTTTACAATTGAAGGTACTTCACAAGATGAAAAATGATGAATGATTCTCAACGAAACTCGAGTAAAGGGACAGAAAAAAAGGACGAAACAAAATTAACCTTATTTCACGTTTTCTGTCCAGTAAAAATGTTTAATATATTCATAAGTATAAATATAAATCAATTGGTGACATTTTCAACATTTATTTGTCAAAAGGAACCAATTGAGAGGGAAACAAAATATTACATTAATGATGAATAAATCATTGCAATCATTAAATTGATTAACAATAAGGCCAACAACATACAAGTTACAAGTAAATCAAGTAAAGCGAAGTAAAAAAAGAAGTTGAAAATTCCTATGAGATTTGGTAAATGACCAAAGATGAAGTACAAGTACAACAAAAGTCAAATCTTATGAATGAATAAGTCTCAATTTCCGCAAAGTCTTTTTTTCCCAGCCCATACTCTCTCAGATTCATCATTTTCATCTTTCGTTCCCTGCAGGGAATCTGTTTTGTCTTGCCCTCATTCTGTATTATCACAGGAAGCAAAAGCCAAGCTAAAGACAAAACAAAAAAAAAGGCAAAGGCGATCAAGATGTTGAGATGATTGTATTAGCAGTGTCAGTAGTGCTCAAGATGAGGTTTGTGTTGAGGTTGGAAGATGAGGTTTAAAGATGAGAATGTAAACTATCCAGAGAGAGGCAAAAATGTGTGGGAGCTTGATAGCCAAGTGAGGCTCTCTTAACTCGCACATTAATCCATTTTGAACAAGTTTGTGAATGAAATGTTCATTTAACCGCACACACTTAAGACACAGACACATGAATCGTTTAGACATTCCTGGAAAAACAGAGAATCTCTTTCTTTAAATTTATATTCAGTCTATCTTTATCATCTTCATCTTCATCTTCTCAGCCTCTCTTTCTCCCATGGTTCAATGGCTTAACAACAAAGCTTCCAAGTTACATGAATCCGAGCTTAACGTGCTTCAGTTTATTTATCACTCTCACTGGTAAAAACAAAATCACTTTCACCATCATTATCTTTATCATCATTTTCACTTCATTTTTTTCTTCTCCATTTTTTTTCTCTTCAACTTTTAACTATTTCATTTCATTCACTTATCATGATCATTTTAACCTTCCTACTCCTAGTGACCTTATATTTAGGGATTGGCTGATATGATAAAATGAGGCAAAAGTTTATTATATTAACCTTTAACTTTTTTTTCTTCTTCTTCTCATGCTCTTCCTTTCTTGGTATTGATTATAATAAATAGGTTAATAAATTTTTATCTAACTTATCACTCCCTGTTGCTGTTGAATGATTAACATTGTTCAAATGAACGGAAACTGATAGGCACGGAAATGGTCCTTTAATCGATTGCACATTCGATTACCATTTGACTCTCTCTTGTTTTCATTGTAACGGCAATTTTTGTTGCTTCTCACTCTCATTTAGCTTTCCTTGCTCATTAAATGAAGATAAAAATGATAATATTGTTAATTATTTGCTTTTGATTGTTTAATAAAAAGCGTTATTGAGTAAATATAAAGAAGGCCAGTAAAGGCAAACTTTAGTAATTTAGTTAATTTAATTCATCATTTGTCACCTAATATCCATTGACTATTGAATGGTAATACAAGGAAAAACTGCTTTTGTGTGTTGTGCAGTCAAAAAGAAGACAAATTTTGCGTTATTTCACTTTTATTTTTACCCTCGCCTTTTCAGAGTAAACTTTACATCTTCCTAATCACCTTTTTTCATCTTCACTTTTCTCTCTTTTTCTCATCCATTTCCATCACCTTTCTATCCCATTATCATCTTGCCTTTGAAATAACCTTATTTGGCATGAAATAATGCCAAACAATTGTCTTCACATTGTATTTCACTGTTTAACCGTTTAAATAGCAATAATATTGAGCTTGATAATTGAACAAAATTTATTGCAATTAATGTTAACCTTAATCTTTCATAATTGTAATCAAATTACTTGTCCAATTATACGATTCAATGATAACTTTCCCATATTAATGTCCACTTAATGGACTGGGAATGTCGAGAAACTTATTGTTATTGAAAGTTTATTTGAAAAGGCAACTTATTGGAATATTTTTTTCTTCAAATTCAGTTTCATGATTATTGATGAGATTGGAAGGAATCAATTTGTTTTATTTAAATTAAGGTTCATTTCCTTCGCTCATTTTGTAAACTTACAATTGTATACATTGATGTTTCAATGATAGTCTAAACATGATTGGTTTTTTTTTCGTAAAAAAATTGATTATTCTAAATTCAACCTCGCCTTCGTTGGTAATAGATTGAACCAGCAATTCCTGCTGCAAATGCTGCAACGAAAAAGAAGGATCCAAGGCCCATAGCAACACCAAAATGATCTTCACTTCGAGCTGAAGCTCTTTGGATTGCTTTAGCTTTGTTTGTGTAAACTGAACAAGTTTGACTGGTTGATTCAAGTACGTTGTAGCTTACTGCTGATCCGGAAGAAGTTGAAAGTCGACAGGTTGACTTTACCTTTGAACCTCTTTCATTGGCAAGAGACTCACAATACTCGAATGTTAGGCAACCTTCGTCTGCAGAGTTACAATCAGATGCACATCTTTCCAGGGGAACATCAGTAATCTCTTTAATTATTTTCACTGAACCAGCTTTGAATTGGCGTCCAACATAATGGGTGTAATCACGAGATAACACGACTATAAAACAATGAATAAATAAAAGTTAACTCGGAGTTATTTTCACTTGTTTTGTATTACTTACCAGCATAATGATCACATGAAGAAGTGCTAAAGTCCCAGATTTTATCTTTAATTTCATGTTTTGTGTCTTCAATCAGATGGAATTGATGAAGGAAGCAAGCGTGTTTACTCCTGCAATTGAGCAAAAAATGAATTTAAACACTTTTCGATTTAAAATGAAATTCGAGACTTACGTTGAAAGACCTTTTTCAGCGGGTTGAGTGCAATAGTCAAATGATTTACAGGGAAAACCTGTTGCTTCGTAACATCGTCTAGCACATTCAGATTCATCGATATCAGTGATGGTATCAATAGCATCTCTGACCAAACTTTGTCCAGGAAACTTTCGATAAAAGGCCATAAATGATTCTAAACAGGAATAGAGAAAAGTGATGAAAATTTTGTAAACAATTATTCATTGAAATTCGTTCAATTACTTACTTTCCATGACGTCGCATCCATCAGCATGTGTTGTTTTTGCAGATAAAGCTGCGGTCAAGTTGGCTTTAGTTTCAGTGCTTAGCATGCATTCATCATGATGATTGAAACAGTATGAAAGTGAATAACAGTCATCGTCATTGATGCACAATTTCAAGCAATCTTGATAGGCAACACCGTGAATTGTTTCACCCGAAGTCAATCGACTGTCTCCTTGAATTACAGCAAATTCATCGCCCTTTATGGGACTAATCTTGTCATTAAATTCATCTTCAATTCCTCCGATCTCTTCTGGTCCACTGACTATGAACAAGTCATCGGCTGAAAGTGCATATTTGGAAATGACAAACTCACCAGCATTGACCTTTGTCTTGATTTGACTGAGAATGTTTCTAGTTGAGGCCAGAATGTTTCTTTGGACAACCGTTTCTCCAATATCGTAACCATTTTTGAAATAAACTGTACAATCAGTATTTTCTTTTAGTGAAGCATAAGATGAACCGGTTGACGAGCTGAAAATTTGACAAGAAAAGTCGCTACAATAAGCAAAGTCGTGACAGTTTTTATCATTGGTACAAATGTCGCCACAATCTTCAAGATGATCTCTGATCAAGATTGAAGTTGGATTTTCAATTTCAAATTTTCCTGTGTCGCTGTAATAAAATTTAAATGGAGGTCGTTCAAGAAGTTTTACTGTCACGTAATAGTTGAACTCGTAAAGGTTTACAATAATCTCGGGAGTTCGTATGACAGGAACAAAGGTTGAAAGTGTTTGTTCAAAGTATTCTCGAATGGTGCTCAAATCCTTTGAGAAAGTTCCTGCATTAGGGTCTGACATTACAATTTGAAACCAGGTAAACTCACCAGGTCCATCATAGCAACCAGTTACATCGAAACGATCAGAAAGTTCAACCTTGTCTTCCTCATAATCGATAAAGATTATCTCTACTTGATATGGAATTTCTTGAGTCATACTGATGTAATTTTTATTGTGAGGTTTGAGGACAATTTTGGCTGGAGCTTGGTTTGGGTTTTTGCTTCGATCAATGGACGGGAAATAGTAAGTCACCGACACATCGGCAACACCATCTTCCGAGAAGAAGCTTGTCAAATCGTCTTCCCAAACATCCATTGTGCCTGAATCGGTCGATACTTGTCCCATATAGTTGGACCAGATTCCAGACTGAGTATTGATCACTTTCATTAAATCGAAACCAACATCCTTATGCCAAGGCCATTTAACCGCCAAATTGTCATCCTTGATCTGTGACCAATCAACAACTTCTGACTTGCATTCACCAGTTTCAGCATTAACCACATATCGTCCCATGTGCTTTGGATTTTGAATGATTCGAGTCGTGTTTGGTTCATCGGTAATTTCAAATGAATACGTGTTTTGATATTTAATCATACGATTAGATGAGAGGATAACCTTGTCTGGATCAGTGTACATAATCATGGCTTCCATGTCGAGGGAAAACTTTTCCGCTGAAAGATAGCTGGGAAATTTGGGTTGATTTGTGGCTGATCGATAACAGCCGAAACCTATTGGGTAAGAGACGAGGTCGTTTGCGCTTGTTTGAAGAGGTTCAAAGATTAGGAAGTTGTATACATGAGCATCGGTTCCTTCACCGGTAGAGTTGAGGGCAAATCGAAAAGGTAATTTACTCGAACTATCGAACCACCAATCAATTTGAAGGGAATCGCTTAAACAATGGAACCAATGATCAGTGTTTCGTCCATCGATCCTTTGTTGGCCAACCCATTGAGCCTTATCACTTACACTTTGAGCCCAAATCATGAGTTGAGTTGGTCCAAGATAGTCCAAGTTACCGAAAAGGTCAATCTCGTCTTTAGCCGATTCCGGTACAACCCAAGCATTTATCGTGTTGTACTTTTCATCGGTTGAAAGTTCACTCGCAGTGCAACCATAGTCTTCAATTACATACTTTTCATTGGTTGCAGCATAGTAATGATGAGTTTCAGTTAGATATTGGTCAAGTTTGTTGATCTCGACTGAACCAAACTTTTTCGCTCCATTGTACTTTTCAGTGACCATGATTGACTCTTCTTCGGGGGTAATTATCTCAACGGTAGCACTGAAACCATTTTGGCCCTTGACCAAAGACAATACATCGGGTACAGCTTTACCTCCAACCTTACCTTTAGTTGGACAGTCTCCATTGGAAGGGTTTATTGTGAGACATAAAAGGACTCCAATCAGTCCAATTGTCTTGATGTGATTCAACATTTTGCAAATTTTCACAAACAATCAATTTACAAATTTATAAATATTACCAAAAAAGGATGAAAATAATTTAAATAGTCATCTAATTAAATCGACTAATAAGTAAGGTTTTTGTTTTTGTTGATGATGGTTGATGGATGAAATGAAAATAATGCAAAACGGTTAAGATTTGATTTAAAATTACAATTGTTAGGCGTTTTTTTTTGTTAGGCTTTTCATGAATCGGTGCAACGATTAAAAATGAAAAGATCTAGTAGAAAGTGAATCAAAGAACATTATTGTGATAAAATTGATAAATAATTAGAGGTCGAAATCTTGATTAGCTCCTGCTCAACGGTAATTAACCTGATTGGTGATTTCATTTCAGATTCAATATTGATTAGACGAACCCCATAAACATTGAACCCCACACAAAACAAAAAATCGGTTCATAATTTTTGTTCTTATGATTTTTGACTAAACAATCAATGTTTCAATAGAAGCTGAAATTTTGTTGTTTAAAAAGTGTCTTCAATCTTTAAATTATTAATCGTAATTAAACTTGAACGTATTTTTCAGGCGTTTTTTCATCAAATGTCAAAACGAACCAAAGATCTCTTTTAGTAGCAGTTTAATTGATAACTTGATATCTTGATTTTTTAGTTATATTCATGTTTATCACGGTAGGTGGTTTTGTTTCGGTTGTTTAATTATAACGATTAGTCTTTTGATGCTAATCAAATTGTGTTAATTGTCTAAGCTTTAAAAGATAATTGCTTTTAATCGACAGTTTTTGTTTCAATTGATATAACTTTGAAGGTGTTATTAAATTGTTGAACAAAAACATAACCAAAAAGCGGTGAATAATCACATTTCAATCTGAAGCGCAAATATTTTGTTATGAATATCGATTGTAAACAAAATGTAAAAGTAACCCTTTTAATACTTATTGTTGGCAACAAATTGAATCTCTAATCAATCTTGAATGATCACTAAACTGAAACTCAATGTTGATCAAGACTAGCATTTAGTAAACAGAAAAGCTTTACTCAAGTAAAATCTTAATCTTTTGGACAAATTGAAGTTAAATGTTAAGTGTGCCAATTTTATTTGTTTATTATCAAAACTTGAAACTTGTGATAACCTTTGGCTGGCCGCATTGATTGATGAGCTTAACATTTAAACTGTTTATTGTTTGATACACTTTTTTTCATGATCCATCAATAACCTTGTCTTGTTGGTCTGTTGTTGTGGTCAAAGGTGTTTTCACGCTCTCTAATTTAGTACAATTGGTCATTTAATGTCTTTTAACGTGACAACAGTAAAAGCTCCAAATGATATTCAATTTGGTGAATGAGAGAAAAGAAGAAGAAGATGCTTTCGAAAGATTATTTGGCAGAAAATTTTGTTCCTTTTGTCTCAATGAAAAAAACCAACAAAAAGAGCAAAGACTGGCATCACTTTCACCATTCATCATTACCATCATCAATAGCATCATTATCATGTTGTCCATTGTTTTGTCCAACCAAAAGGCAGAATATGTTTCATAACAGCAAACATGCTTCAACACATGGAGCATTGAAGGTGCAAAATGATTTTTAAACATCGATTAGACGATCCATTATTTGTGTGTCAATTGTTGTTCATTAGCTAAAGATGTTGAGAAAGTACGTAAATTGATAAATGCAAATGTGTCTCCATCAAGCTGAGTTGAAATTGAATTTATCTTTGAAATTAACTTTCCATTATTAACAGACCAACTCCTGTGAACTTGTTTAACCTAAAATTGAAATAACATTTAGCCAATCATCTTAAACACTTGATATTGAACGATCATCTCTAAATGTGTTTATCCTCATTATTTATCCTCGATTTACTTTGTATTTACTGTCGCTTTAATTAGTAATTCAATTCTCTGTAAAACTGTTAATCACCATTGATTGTGAATTAATAATGGTTTGACTCTTGATTTGATTGAAGACCTTTCATTTGTGTGTTAACTCATTTTCATCTCATTCATCACCATTTTAACCAACAATCCAATGACCATCAAACTTCAGAAACTTTATTATTGTCATTGACCAGCTTACAACTTCATACAATTAACTTTGCTTTTGTTTTCTTCTTTCATTAAATTTGCCTGATTTTGAAGCCACTTTCAACTCTCTCACTCTCATCCTCATCAACCAGATTTACGTTTGAAATGAATGATGAGTTCCTGTCTTCTCAACTTGGTCAGATAGGTTGAGAAAGGAACCTCAAAAAAGAGCGAAGAAAACCTTAAACCAATTTTTACCTCATTTCTCTGTGAGCTGTCTTGAGCTTAATTGATGTAGCGGTTAATTACTGGGTTAAGATGGTGAAACCAAAAACTGCAAGACAAACTGTTACTGACCAAACAAGACTTTGGTTCACTGACCAGCAAACTCATTTTATTATCACACACCGAACGCTCTATTCATTTCCTTGAACACTTTCTTTCTCAGGCTCTTTCAACCTTTCTTTTTCTGTGATTGAAACATCATTGGAAATTATACTTTTACAAAATGTCGCCATTTGTTGGTTTATAATTAAATTGAAATATCAATCTTGAAACAACGCTTTTGACACCAACAGTAATCGCTACATCAAGTGTATTGTTATAAACTCATCATGATTCGGTATTACCATTGCAAATTGTGTGAAGGTAACAAGGTGAGAGGAAAGAAAATTGTTTGATTGTTAAATTGGTGGGTTGAAGTTACTTGGTTATGTATCCGGATGATTGCTGTTGAAATTGACTCAATCAACAGGTTAATTGGTTGTTTGTGACTGTGTAACAAATGAAACACAAATCAATCCCTATTAATTTCAATACAATTAACATGAGAAGAAGAAGAAGAAAAAAAAACTCGTCAAAATGTTGAACAAACTTGTCTCTCTGCAAATAACAGCTTAATAGCAATGTTACTTTGTTGCTTCTCGTGAAACGGCAAACAACATGTTTGTGTACTTTTGACAGGTTCATATCTAGTCCGTTTGACTGTTGATTTCATTCTGGGATGTGAGAAAAGTGAGAAAAGGAAAGGAAAATTGAATTTGCATAAAAAATGCCGGTAATCAAGTGTAATCAGAATGTGATAATGATGATGATTGGGATGATGACCGAGAGAAACAATTGAATGATTCAAATGTTGACTGAAATGGTACGTGTGATGAAAGATGTGATTGAGTGGTGAGAATGAATTGATGTTAACAAGATGAACAACAAAAAAAATACAGAGCTTTTCCATTCTACTTTGCATACTTTGAGTCAAAAAAAAAGTTCAACTTTTCTCACTAAATATTGAGCTTTTTTTGCTTCTTCCACCTTTATTCCTTTTCCGTTCATTGATGGCTACTAGTTGCGTGATAATTAAGATTCTTACCACGAAATTGAATTGCAAAATAGTGATGATGATGGTGAGAATGCGAATGAGAATGAAAAGGCAAAAGTTTATCAACAATCAGCAAACAGCAATAAATAAGCAACACCAAAAAAAGTAGCAAAAATGAACCTTTTTCCCTCATTTTTCTGTTTCTTTTTTTCCCTCTCTTTGCTCAATTTCACCTTAACGTGTTGTTTCAAGTGCTTATTAACTTTGATTCATTAGCATCACTTTTTTTATCCATTTCAATGGATATTTATGTTTTTGTTATTAAAGATGTTTAATCTTGGCCAACCTTGTTGCTATGACCAATCCAGATTTCCGTTTAAATTTTTGCTTCTCTTATCTGTACTTTTGGCCAATTTAAAAATTTAAATTGTAAACTGAAAACGCAGCCCCAACAACCTGGTAAAGGTAAAAGAAGAGAGCAGAAAGGGAAGAAAAAGGTTGAAAAGAAGAAAAAAAAAGTTTAAATATTCAATTAACCAAACAGTTTGTTTCTTTTTTCTTGTTGTCCATTTCACTCGAAAAAGTGGCTTAACTGCTTTAAAATCTACCTGTTACTCCGTTCTTTTACCCCTTACCTGGAATCTCTTTCTTCTCATCCTCATCCCAACTCTCTCTTTCTCTGTCTCTCGATGTCTACACCTTTAACACCGTAGGCAATGGAAATAATAAGGGAAAGATTTAAAAACTAATGGGTTGAGTTGGCAAGAATCTTGTTATTTTTTCAACTTAACAAACTAGATTTTCGTGTAAAGAGTAAAGGTATCGCCAGTTGAGACACCCTGTAGTGTTGAGATATTTAAACCAGGTAAAAGGAAGAAGATGAACGATTCTTGCGAAACACCTTTTCTTTTCTAGTGTTACATTTGCAGGTAAAAGTGCCGTTGCTTGAGCTTCACCAGAAGCGCCGATAATGACGACAGCATCTTGATCTAATTTTTTGTTGCACTCGCCCAACTGACCCTTAAAGGCCAGTTGCCTGAAAGGTGGAAGCTGCCGAAAGAAAAAGGTAGAGAAGCAGCAAAAAAAATCAATCAATTTTCTCATTCAATTTTTACTTCATTTTTTTCTTCTGCAACTGACCACACTAGAGTAGCAAATTAACATTACTAATGGGTAAAAAAAGGTTGAGAAAAAAAAGACTGATATTTATCTTCTAATAACAGGTAACATTGAATAAAGATCAATTTGACCTCTTGTTTTCCATTTTTTACCTTTTCAACCTCTTCCTTGTTCTTGCTTCTTGCCTTCTTCACCTTGATCAGCTTGTATCATCAGCCGTTTGCTTGGACACACTCCTTGGTCTTTCAACAGACACACTTACCTTCAAATTGAATGTAAAGTTGGAGCAGCAAAAAAAAACTAACTCAATGTTACTAATGATAATAATACTGATAATGATAATTTGTGTGTTTCGTTAAAGTCGATGCCCGAGTCACAGGCAGATGTAACTTGATTTTGTGTCTTTTTATAACCTAATATTGTAACTCCTTTTCCCTTGATCTGTTTAGGTCCAGGTGCCTGGTTCGACCCCGATATGATAATCGTTGGTAAGTAGTTTCAGTTATTTCAACTTTTTAATACATTTTTACCTTTTTCGCCTGATTCCTTAACGACTATCCGAATTACCTTCAACTTGATGTGTCTTTTTTTACCTTCTTGTTGCCTCATCCTAAGGCACACTTCAATCATTCAATGCATACCGCTGCAACAATAAATAGTCATAAATTAGAAGCAAAACTTTTCATAATTTTCTCATTACCAGTATCATGTTGAATCAATGATTACTAATAACCTTCATTAATGATTCAAATCCGTATTTATTCCAATAGCAGCAGGATTTAGCAATCAGATTTAATCTTTGATTCAACCAATGTTTCAATAACTGTTGATCAACGGTTTCGGCAAAAGGACAAAAAGAGTTAATTGATCTCATCAGGTTATTTTGCAACATTGTTATCAGTTGAATCACCTTACATTTGTCGGTTACTTTGGTGACTAAAGTTGAACCATTGCAATAAAATCTTTTACCGAATCTTGAACTCTCCTAATCATTCAATATTAATCCAGTTGCACCGAAAGCCCGAAAACTGGTTTTCACAGAGTTTATCGATATTCTGGGAAAACAAAATTTTCTTTTTTGGTGCATATGTTTCGTTTATCTATGATTCATGATTAACAAAATTACAATTGTCTTTTCAACTTTTTGTTTCTGTGTCAATCAACATTATCTAGTTTCATTGAAAAGGTAATTTCCCTTTAAATGTCTCGTTATTTCTAGTCTACAATTTACTTCCCTTATTTAGTTTACCTTTTTTGATAGTCTATTGCTATTATAATCATGATTAATATTGTTATATAAAAAAAGGATATTTTTGTTTCTTCACAATTTTATTGTTTCCCTTTAATATTTCACTCTCATTACCTCACTATTAACCTGTTTTCATTGGTATCATTAAAACATATTTTTGATACAAAGGTGTGTACAAACTGAGACACAAATACGTGACTTCCTTAATGAGATTATTCACTCTTACTTTCATCCTTTCTCCCACTCTTGGCACCTTACCTTTTCCCCTTTATTTACCTTTCCTTTCCTCCCACCAAATTTACTTTATTGACACACTTTTTTCTTCCTCTGATCCGTTAACACAGGCAATGAAGAGTTAACCCTTGGACAGGCTCGTGTCCAAATGGCCATTTGGTCCATTCTATCGGCTCCACTCCTAATGTCCAATGACTTGAGAACAATCAAACCCGAATTTAAGCAGCTTTTATTGAATCGTAAAGTAATTGCTGTTGATCAAGATCCTATGGGTAAATATGCCATTTAAACATTAATTGCGCCTTTCCTGCTTCAATTGGACAATTGGACAATTGTAACATCAAAATCAATTGTAATCATTTGGAGAAGAAAAAAAGTTTTTTTTCTCAACTTGACTCAACTTATGCAAATAATTGACTTATCAATCAGTCTCAATCAATTAACCAACAATGTTGACCCTGAATCTTGTTCCATCAGATTTGATTAATATCATTCAATTGTGCAACTTAAATGAGATGCAATGCGCACTTGAAAACTCAATTGGTGCAAGATTTAAAAGTATCTCAATTGGCTTCAACAAAAGGAAACGCTATCAACATTTGCAGCATTTAATTCAATTTCAACCTTTCCATTGATTCTTGATTAATTAAATTTAACAGCCAACATTGAACCTCTTTTAGTCAGATTAATCATTATAATAATCATCATTGACTATCATTACTTTTATTTCACAATCCAAGTTGAACCCAATATCTTTTTTTACCTCATCTTCCTGGTTCCATGAACTGAACCAATAATTATGAAACGAGAATTTCTTGGACTATTCTTTACCTAACTTTTTTTCTTTCCCTCTTCTCAGGTATTATGGGCGAACGAGTATTCAATGCAAGTGACCTACAAATTTGGGTTAAGCCCATTGAACCAGTGGTTAAGGGTAAACCAAGTTTCGCTGTTGCCTTGGTAAACACGGGTGTAGCTGATACTGTAAGTTAATTTGATGATTGCAATGAAAATGATGGAAACTAAATAAAGGTTTAAAACGTTGAGAGTTGAAAACTTTTCTCGGCAAAACTTGAACATAAAATATTAATACAACAGCTTTTCAGTGACTCAATGTTAGCAACCCTCTGCTCTTTACCTGAATTTACTCAGTCTTCACCTTTATCATCTGTTGTCCTTAATCAATATCATTGCCCATTTTAATAGTTTTCATTTTTTCCTTTTTTTCATTTTCACTTTCAATTTTATTTTCCTTTTCATTTCTAGTTTTCATTCAAACTCAGTGATATTTTGACTGGAAAAGATAGCGCCACAAGCTATTCGATTGACGACCTTTTTGGTGATGAACCCTTGAACTCACCAATTGAACTTTCATCCAATCTAACTCTTAAAGTTGGTGGCAAAGGTGACGCTCGAATGGTCAAGTTGATACCAAGAGATGGACTCTTTTTTGAAACATTGACCAACAATGACTTGAGCTAAATGACAGAAGAAATGAAAAGTTCCGAGAAGAAAAATATACTCATTTTCCAATACTGACCATTCGAATTCCTTTTACTAAACAAAAAATGCTCAACTAACCCAAGCAATTGTGCCAATTGACTATTTTTTTACCTTTCAATATTAACCGATTCCAACCCTTTGAAACCCAACCAACCCGAATAAATTGAATAACAAACCAGTTAGCAACTAGAAATGATTTGAATCCATTTTTTGCCTCTCTCTTGATAATCACTTTACTCTTTGATCAATTGACCATTAATTGACAAATCCTGAGCAAAGAAGCGCAAACTTTTCTAGACACTTTAATCGTCTCGTGAAGAGCAAAAGTGTATAAAAGGTATTTAATATTGGATTGGCACGCAATGAGAAACATTATCAACCAATCATCATCATTAAGCATCTCATTGAACCAACCAAAAATATCAACAATCTTTTCCTTTCAGATCCAAATTAAATGGAAACCAGCAAAGGTGCAATTAATTTTATTGTAATCACTCGCTATTCAAATGCACCTTTAAACCATTCAAAGCTCATCTTTACCTTGACCTGAACCATGAAAAGGTCTCACCTCAAAGCAACAATTATCGATTCAATTGTTATCTCTTCCTTCACTTGAATCTCTCAGGAAATATTGTCAACTAAACTTGTTAGTTTGAGTTTCACTTTTCGTATCTTAATCTTAATGTTAAAGTTATTTGCAAATCTAATCATTTTTCCCTTCACCGAAGTGAAAGTTTTTTAAGATTGAGATAATGATGAATCAGGAATAATTTCAATTGGAACAAAAAAGAAGTAAAAAAAGGCTCGAAGTTCGAGTAGTTTTCCATTGAAATTATCAACAATTGCCTTGAATCGGACGCTTTATTAGCACTTGTTAACCAGACAAAAGACGAATCACAGTTTAATTAACGCTGACGTCGCAACGGAATGCTAATTACTCCAAGAAAACCCGAAAGATTAATCAGCAAACGAAGCAAATTTTATCTCTCCAAGTCAGGTTTTTATTGGGAAATAATCTTGAAGTGATAAAATGATTATCATAATTTGTGTAACAATTTGTTTCAAAGTATCAGTATTTTCAGTCGTTATCTCGCCTGTTTATCGTCTTTCAATTTACAAAGTAATAAAAAAAAGGGAAAAATCGTAAAAATATTTTTGCTTAACAACTTTCAAGATTGTCAGAGTTTCAATTTATAATTAAAGGTGGAAAAGGTTCATTAACATGAAAAGTCTTTGGTCCTGAAGCTTTCAATAAACCAGAAAATGAATAAAAAATTTGACTTTAATCACAATCAATGATTAGATTGATTGTTTAACCCAATTCCAGGAAGAAAATTTCTCGTGGAAACAAAAAGTTTATCATTTTGCTCTTCTTTTCACCTTAACAACCCTTTTGATACAATGTTATTCAACAATTAAATGTGAATTAAAAGTAAGAGTAAAGCTGTTCCAATTGCAGCTCAAGTGATTACAATTGATTAGTTAACAATGTTTCTTGTTTTGCTGACTATTTGATCATCTTTAATTGTTAATTATGTTTACTTTGTTACTGTAAATTAGTCAATAGTTGATCAATTGTCTTGTCATCGGAGTTGTCTGATTATCATGTCATTTATGATAATTTCATGTTTATTCATTTGTTGTAATTTTCCTTGTAAATTAACGAGAAAATTGTTGAACAAAAAAAGGTAACAATTAACTTAATTGTGGACCATTTCAATTGAGAGTGAAAACAAATGTTTCAATTGAAGTGATTGTCAACAATTAATAGGAACATTCAGAATCCAGATTTCTTATCATTTCTCTTCTTTTCTCTTATTTTTTCAGATAACATTCGATATCATGTTATTGTTATCAATCGCTTGTTATAATTTTATCCTCTCATCATTATTAACTGTTAACTACTTTAATCTTCAATTCTGTAAGAATGTAACTCATCTTTTTTGCCCACTTAAACACAACTTTTTGCAGTTTCAAAGTTCATCATTGGCACATTGTTTCCCTGATTTCCCAGGTTTTCCTTTGTATTTTTGATTCAAGATAATTTGCTTTTCCTGGTTCTTATTGGCTCAGAGTGAGGCAATGATTGTTACCTTTTTTTCTGACTGCTAAATACTCATCATGATGAGGCTCATGGACATTGGTTGAGGTTCACTTTTGATTTGTTAGCATCTTTCTTCTTCTTCTTCTTATCTTTCACCTTGACAACTGTAAGTTTACCGATAAAATAGTAGTTTTTTTTAATCAGTTAATGGTCATTATTAATAGTCTTATCTTAAGCAGGTGATCAGGCTCAAGAACAAATCTTGTAAGTCACATGTTCTGCTTTTCACAATGAGCCTCCAAATTCAGGTTAAGTTGATTTCAGTTGAAATACTCGACTAATTAGTCCTTTTGTTTAACATTCAATGACTATTGTTGTGATTGGTGATTAAAGATTCTAAGCTATGATTAGTAATGTTTTGACTAATTTTTCAAAATTCAATTGAGACACTTAGACTAGACTTTCAGGCAACTGCAACTGTTATGGTAAAGGTTCAACTTTCAAGAAGTTTTGCCAAAATAAATTATAGATTGTTGTTAAGATTGATTGATCGAAAAAATCGATTCTCGAAAAATACAAATTTAATTGAGAACGAACTAAATCGTTTTTTGCGATTTCTCGTTTGCACCAAGCTAGAGGTCTTTTTTACTCAATATTTATCTTATTCTAGTGTTTAGTAATATTTATAAATGATAAGGTAAGGAGCAAAGGTGATCTTTGGACATTTTCGCCAAGTTTGAAATCGAAAAGTTTATCTCGATATTTATCGATTTATGGGAAAAATCGATTGAGAAAATCGATCACCTCTTACCAATTAATTTTGATCAAAAGTTGGCCTTAAATAGACAAATTGTCCAAATCTGGCTTCTTATTTCAGTGGAATAGTTTTTTTCCTTTAGAAGAAGAAGAATCGATTTAAATCAGTTTGTTTGAAATTTGGCTTTGGGATAGACCAGAAACTTTTAATGGACCTTTGTTGAGATATATTGGCGTACTTTTTAACAATTTAGATACCAAGTTTTGTCAGTTTTTGCGTTTCTTTGAAACCTTGGTGTAAAGTGAGATCACTATTTTCACTGAAATATCAACTATACTTTGACGCTCTTGTCTATTTAAGGCGATAACTTGACATTTTTTTATTAAAATTGATTTTTTGCACAACATCTTCTTGAAAAGGCGCCTTTATTTCAACGGTTAAATGGTTCCTGTAAGTCTAGTCTAACAGTCTCGATTCAATTTTGAAAAATTAGTCTTAACATTACTTTGTTTAACTTAAATGAAGATTGCTTGAGATCAATGAACATTAGACTTTCTAGATTTCTTTACCTTTAACCTGTCGATTGTTTTTGAGGCAAAATTTGATTAAATTGGAAAACATTATTGATCAAAAGTTGAATTTGATCTAATCAAGATTTCAAATAATCTGAATGTTAGACTTTATGATCAAAATCAAATTAACCTTTGATGGCAACTTTAAACTTGAACAGAAAAGTAGTAAAATTTGATTTTATTGACAAATTTTCCAACGAATTTATTTTTTCCTTAAAGAAGACCTTATGCAAATCATTTTCACCCAAAAACAACAGATAATTATCCAATTTGACTTGTTCATGATGAAGTTGTTATTCAACTTGACAGATGAAACAATGCACTCGAAATGAACTTTTCTCGTTCAATTTGTCCATTTTACTTTGACTCTAAATTTTAATCAAAAACGGTTTCCATTTTGCAAAACCATGAACCTCATGAATCAACTACAAAAACTTTAAAAGGAAAAGTTTCATGAAAGTTGATCAAATGTTTAATCTGGTTTTTGTGCACTTTCCCTTGTCCTTAACCTTAAACTGTGCCAATAGGACTCAACCCGGAATGGGTCAAAGAGCCTGTTGTTCAAGTTTCTTCAAATTAAACTTTGAATAAACTTGCAACAATGTAATCACTGGAAATCATCTGAATCAATCAATTTGAATGGAATAATGTTTCTCCACTTTTCCACCATAAATTTTGGTTAAATTCTTGCCTCACCTATTTACTCTGGAAATAGTTTTTCATGCTAATTGACCTCCAACCGTGAAAAGAATGAGAAAACATGAAAATCTATGAAAACCTCTTGATATTTAATTCTTTCTGCTGATCAATGAATTTGATAAAGAGAGCAAATAAAGCGCCATTTCAATGAGCAAGCAACAACTGGAAAAGATTTCATCAGTTGTAATGGATTCAAAAATCGCAGCCAAAAAAAGCAAGAAGTCTTGATTCAAACGATAAGTTCTGAAGAGAGAGAGTAAAGTACGTTTAAACCTACAATGAACTCACAACGATAATGATGATTATGGGTGATGATGAAAGCACCTTTTGTGTTCACTTCAATCAAATGCGTCTTCTGGTTGCATAATGAATTATACAAGAAGTTGAATCTAAAACTTGCTTTCTTTACCTGAGAAGAGCAAAAAAAACAATTTACTTTCCATTTTGTGCGTAATCATGAATATTATGGATTGAAATAAACATGAGAAGGTTAAAAATTTAATAAACAATTTCAATATTCATCTTTGCCTTGAATCATGAATATTGCTTTTTCTGCTTTTCTCTTCACTCCGAACTTTAACCATTGCCAATGATCAAGTATCATGAAATTTCCGGTCATTTGATAGTCTGATATTGATTTGGCAAATCATTTATTCAATCATATTGTTCATCTGTTGTTATTTGAAACCCAAAAGTTTCTATTTTTTCGCAGTTCAAGTCTTTACCATTCAACTGTAGTTAAAGTGAACTAAGGTAACATTAATTTTTACATTTTAATCATTTGTCTCAATTTCAATTGTTTTTTGTTTTTTTTTGTTTTGCCGAGTTTCAATATCGTTTAATAATAGCTTTTCAGTTGCAACTTTGAGAAGCAAAAAATGGCCAAAAACCCTTTTTTTCCTATGAAAAAGTTCACTTTTTGTTGCTGCTTTTTTTTGTTGAAAATTGTCCAAGTGTGAGAGAAAATTGAAAGAAAAGTTCTAAAAATATTTCTCAATGCAACTAAAGGTACAGAGAATTTCATGATAATTTAATGAAACTTTCAACAATGAAAAGTCACACACGCAAATGGCTCAACATTTTTTGACAAATGTTTAATAATTGTTTAAATATTTGTAAAT